GGTGAGGACAGTGGGTGGGGAGGGAGGGCGGAGGGTTGGGCGGGAACTGGGAGGAGAGGAGTTATGGGGGGGGGGAAAGAGGAACAAATGTAATCTGAACAATAAAGATTTAATTAAAAAAAAAAAAGAAAAGAAATGGGCTTTACAAACATGACCGAAATCCAACATAAAGTGTCAGACCACTTCTGGAAGGCAGCTGCAAAAACTGGCAGTGGCAAAACCCTGGCCTTTCTCATCCCTGCAGTTGAACTCATTGTTAAGTTAAAGTTCATGCCCAGGAATGGTAAGCCTTTGATCTGGTTGTTTCTTCCATTGTCTCGCTAGAAGTTCATTTCGGCTTTTATGAACACGTGGTGATAATTAGTTTGACTTTTTCCATATTCATTTTTTTGCCTTTTAGGAACAGGAGTTCTTATTCTCTCCCCTACTAGGGAACTGGCCATGCAGACTTTCGGTGTTCTTAAAGAGCTGATGACACACCACGTTCACACATACGGGTTGATAATGGGCGGCAGCAACAGGTCTGCTGAGGCACAGAAGCTTGCTAATGGGATCAACATCATTGTGGCCACACCAGGCCGTCTCCTGGACCATATGCAGAATACTCCAGGGTTTATGTATAAAATCCTGCAGTGTCTGGTTATTGATGAGGCTGATCGTATCTTGGATGTTGGGTTTGAAGAGGAGTTAAAGCAAATTATTAAACTTCTGCCAACACGCAGACAGACCATGCTCTTTTCTGCCACACAAACTCAAAGAGTCGAGGACCTGGTGAGGATTTCTCAGAAAAAGGAGCCATTGTATGTTGGTGTCGATGATGATAAAACTAATGCAACAGTGGATGGTCTTGAGCAGGGATACGTTGTTTGTCTTTTCCGAGAAAAGATTCCTCCTGCTCTTCACATTCCTTTAGAAGAACCGGAAGAAGACACTCATGGTCTTCTCATCTTGCATGTCCGTGAAATACCACTATGAGTTGCTGAACTACATCGATTTGCCTGTCTTGGCCATTCATGGAAGGCAGAAGCAAAATAAGCGTACGACCACATTCCTCCAGTTCTGCAATGCGGATACGGGGATATTGTTGTGCACGGACGTGGAAGCTAGAGGGCTGGACATTCCTGAAGTCGACTGGATTGTTCAGTATGACCCTCCAGATGACCCCAAGGAATACATTCATCGATGGGAAGAACTGCCAGGGGCCTAAACGGAAGGGGGCATGCCTTGCTCATCTTGCGTCCTGAAGAATTGGGTTTCCTTCGTTACCTGAAGCAATCCAAGGTAAAGGTCTTTGCTTGGGAAGTCTTAAGTTGGAACAGATCCTCTTGGTGGAATTGTTGGCCAGTGCAGGTGGCCTCGAAGTGTCGAGGAGTCATGAGTCATTGCAGTGCTCCTGGAGCAGTTGTTACAGATGTGGAACAGATGAGGTTTTGTGGGGGCTGGCCCAGGAAATGTGAACCAAAAGGACTACCCGTATGGCTTAATCCTTGAGTTCCGTGTTGTCAGCCTGTGTCCCTCGCCTCCTCTCCCAGTCCTGCGGCCTGTTTGAAACCACCTCCCCTCCTGTTAAAACCCCTCACACCTGACCGTCGCTGCCTCCTGCTCCCCTCCCCGCAGTCTTCTCTGCATCTTTTTCTTGAGCATCTTTCCCGCTTACCTCCCCAAAGCAGTGGGGTCCTCATTCACTCCTGCCCCTTCCTCCTCCTCCTCTTCTGTCCCTCATTTGTCAGCTGGTTTGTCTTCAGTCTTCAGTCTCTCCCTTACAGTCAGCTCTTTACCAGCTCAAGTCATTCACTAAGAAAAATAACTTCAACCCGAAACCCACTCTCCTACCACCCCTCCAGCCTGGCTACTGCCTGTTGCCTTTCTTCTGTCTGCATTTTGAATCGTGGTTTATATTTTCTCCATTTTTCCACTCACCCTGTGTCCAGCGCATCCACCAAACCTGAATTCATTGTAACTGTGAGTGGCCTCCGTTGCTGGGTGTGGTGAATGCTCACCAGGCCTGCGCGTCCCTGCATTTGCCTCCTTGTCAGCTCCCGGCACAGTGTTGCCAGGTGGATTTTCCTCATTCCACAGCTCCGCGCAGCTTTCCAGAATTGCTGCTAGACTTGGCACTTTCTCTCTGGAATGCCCTTGCCTGGTTCTCTAGACTGCCTCTGGCTTCAGCTAGCTGTGTCTGTTCTGGGAAGCCAGCCCTGACCTCCATGTCCCCACAATTCTGCTGGCAGCTGCGTCCTGCACCCAGCATAGGTCTGGCCCTCTTCCACTTACCTAGTCAGGGATGGCTACTAAGAGGGCCTTCCCTGGGAGTTTGTGGTCATCGTGACCTGGTGTCCCACACTCAGTCAGGGGGCGGGGTGGCCATGGGACCGCTCTGGCATGGAGAGCTAGGGGTCCTCTGACTAGAGCTCCAGGCCTTCCCATCCCCTGGAGCCTGTTTAAAGAGAGGGCTTCATTGACACATGCTGTAAAATTCCTCACCTTTCCTCCACTGTTTGTAGGACTTCCCA